TAAGTATAAAAAACATTTATTTTAAAGTTTTCTTTAAATCAAGCTTATTTTTTTAAATTTCAAATTAATGATTTGCCAACTAGATCATCAGTTTGGACGGCAAATAAATCTCAATTGCACATTTTGGTTATTTAATTTATTAAATAAATAAAAATCGACTTAATGCATCAAAAGTGTACAATGCTAGTTAGGGTGATTGGTTTGGGTTGGTCTGATTTAGAGTGTTAATTGTTGTTGGCGGTCTAATGCTCATGCATTATCTGGTCCGATCTGAAAGCGATGCTAACAGACTATCACGAAGCCTTAATGCTTTTGCGTTACCTGATTTATTTACATCAAAAGATCATATAAGTGCATCTTGATGTAATACGTTATTTAGTTTAATTTCTAAATCTGCAAGTGATTCGTCATACCTCTCTATTATCGTTATTAATAAACGTTTCCACGGATTTATAAATTTGCAAGCGATTGGTTATATCTGCCCATATACTTTAAAGTTTATATTATACAATGTTGAAAATTTGGTTTTTACTTTATTCCAAGGTTATTTCAACAGTAGAGACAGTGCCCAATCCAAAGTGAATTTCTCTCGCCTGTGATCAATTACAAATTAAATTATTTATATTGTGATGGATATAATCTCTCATCGGTTTTAATATATGTGTAACATTAACGGTCTCTGCTGTTGGTTATTTCCCAAATACCTGTTTGTTGCAATTGATAGATCGATCAAACGTTACTTTTATTATAAATTCTAAGTTAAAATATTTTTTGAAGCATCTAAAATATTATGCAGGTATATTTTTTTTAATATCAACTATACAACTTACAATTAAACAACTAAACAACTAAACAACTAAACAACTAAACAACTAAACAACTAAACAACTAAACAACTAAACAACTAATCGATTATTTTAGTCACGTGATCTCACAATCAATTAGTTGCCAACTTTAATTCCAACTAATCGATTAGCTAAATTTTTACCAACTCGGAACACTATTAGTGCTGTAGTGAAACGTTACATTTTCAAAAAGTACTTTAAACTGTATAAATAAGTTACCTGGCAATTGATTTACATCAGCCAATCAGACAAATGTCTGTCTATGACCTTTAGGGTATATAATGATAAATATTAATTCTTTTTTTTATTAGTAAAAGACATTCTTATTTTATACCTGCCTTTGAAAGTTTTACAATTCTTCCTAACTGTGACATGATCTAAATTTAATATGTCTAATCAAATATCATAAAAATGCAGAATCAGATTAACCTAAAATTGACTAATATGCAGAATAGTTGTGTAGTTGATTAACATATGCAACCGGTTATTGACAACTAGTTGACAACTAACGATTAACTGTAGTTGAACTAGTTGATTACAAATCGGTTAGTTTTTAAAAAAATTTTTAACCGGTTAGTTGGAAAGTTGTCAACTATTCGGTTTTCCAACTAATGATTTGGAACACTAGTGTAGATCTCTTCCCCATACCGTAGCACCATATTTGCAAAACAACAAAACACGTGGTTGCCTTCTACTGAGTTTATCCCGATTTGGTAGGTGTAAACAATGCTGATCTTTTGGAGGGGATAAGCCAAAAAGCCACTTTTTGTCGAAAATTTTGGTGAAAACGGCAAAAGATGAAAACGAAAAAGAGACCTCTTGATACCACTTAAAAGAGAGTAAGTTACTAAAAACAACAAAGACAGCCTTCCTCCAGATAGTGCACTACTCGAATTTTGTCGGTGAGTGATAAACTCTGAACTTGTCAGCAGGTAGCATATGAGAACTACCTCTAAATGACAAGTGCCGGGTCTGCAGTAAGTGATAAACTCTGAAACTGTCGGCAGGTAGCATATAAGAACTATCACTAAATGACAGTTGCTGTCTTACAGTTCCTTTTTTCTTCGACTTATAAGCTAAGAGGTCAGTTTTTACTGTTTTTGTTGAGTAGTTTTTTCGAAAAAATTTGAACCAAGTGATCACAGCTATGCAGTTGTTTTCCATCTTGTAGATATCTTGATAGATATTCTTCATATATTGTAACTTGTCAGCTGAATTGTTTATTTGACTGTGTTTAGAAATCTGAATTTTGTTGCTTGCTAAAGTATTACTCCTGGCCTTGTAATGTGAGTAGAAATATTTTGTGGATTTTTCTTCTTCCTCAATCTACTTCACATTTGATCTAGTCTGCCATTTGTCAGAAAGGGTTTGAAGTTCCTCATGTAGCTGCATGTTAATATGTTTTCTTAGAGCTGGGAGATGCTCTAAGTTTTCTATGCTAGATGCCTCATTGTTAATTTTGGTTAATCTTTTTTGCAGCTTCTGAATCCTTTTTTCTGGTGAAGGTTGCATTCTAAAGGCTCTGATTATGGACTGTATTCTACATTTATATAGATCCTACCTTGAGAAGTTTGTAATACTTTGTACCTCTTCAATTACTTCTACTCTGAGTAGTTGATTTTGCCAGCTGTTTTTATCAAATCTCCATTGTTTTGCTTTAGGTTTTTCTGTATTCAACTGCAGTTCATATTCTACTAGCAAGTGATTAGAGTTACTAAACTGGGTTGTGGTCTTCTTTCAGAGGTGCCCATGATTCGCATCAATGAAAATATAATTCAATCTTGTAGCCATTACGTGTTCTCATGTATTCTGATAATAAGTTATAAAAGGCTTTGTGCAGGCTGTAACTGCTATGGTATCAATATACTCTAATGTTAAATTTGAAAGCAATTCTCTTGTAGAATCACTTGTTGGTAAAGACTGACTTATTCTATTTTCCTGTGGGTATTGAAGTCTCCCGCAAGGATAGTTATGCATCCTTCATCTATCTCTTTCTGCTATAAGATAGAACTTTTGGTGTCTGTAGATAATGCTTGCTTTGGTTATATGGCCATTATGTGATTGATTTGTGTTGGATAAAGTAATGTTTGGATTCTTAGCTAAGATTGTGGTTTTAAAGAACCAGTATGAACTATATCTTCATTGTTGCTGTAAAAAGTTTCTTGTACTAACATTTTCTAAATTAGTTTCTTGGAGCATAATTAAATCTAAGTGATATGATTTTAATAATGTAAGTGTTTTATGTGCTTTTTCTAAATTGTTTAATCCTTTAACATTTAAAGTTGTGATTTTTAGTTTGTTAACTATAAGTAAATTAGAGTTGGTGTGTGTATGCTAAAAGCAATACTTAAGGTCTGTTTGCCTTAGAGCCAGGGTATGGCCCCGACCTAGATTTGTTTGTAGCTGTAATTGACTTTCTGGAATGGTTTTTGGTTTTTCTTTTGGAGGTAACCAATGTAAACCCTTCTGCATCAGTATTGTTGACTTCACTTTTTGTACCATCATTTTTGGCATAAAAGAATGCTAATAGATCTTCTATTATATTCTCCTGACTAATCTCATTATCAGTTTTGATGTGGGATGATTCCGTTTCTGGTTTGGCTTCTGCATTGGACAAGGCTTGGGTTTTTGCTACTACAGCCACCTGTGTTTTTACTTCATTTTCTTTAGGTGGGTCAAAAGTTTCTGCCAACATTTCTGTTTGAGTTTCTGCTTCAACCTCTTTATCTAACACCATACTGTTTATGTCTGAATCTTTTGCTGTTGTATCAATAAACATGACATTCTCTGATTCTTCATTATATAGATTTTTAGTACTCAATAGCATTTGAGAATGTCTCTGATTTCCATTCTCGTGCTCTTTGCAACTTTTTTTCTTTTTGTATTTTTTTTAACACAACTGATGTTTGGTATTCTTGACATTCTTTTTTTGATATGGCTTGTTTTGTTACAGAAGTAGCATACCTTTGTGGCTTCTTTCCAATCAGTTATAACTTTTTGATCCCAAATATGTGTAAACCTGGGTATTCTCGTTGTCAAATCTGGATTATCTGTTGTTTCAAAAATCACCACCCATTGGTCTGTAAGCACTGATGTCCCTTTATACACCAATGGTTTAATGAAAGAAATATTGCCAATATCTTTAAAGGCTTTTTCAATTTGCTCTGAAATAAAATCCTTTTTGCCCATAGGCATATTTCGAAGCCACACTGATAAAAAACTTCATCTAATATTTACTGGAATATACCTCTGGAGAGTTTGTTTAAAGATTACAAGACCTTCTGCTACATAAAACTGCTGCTTCTCTTTATCTGTAAAGATGACTTCTATATGGGACAATAAGGTCTTCACTGACTACAGTTGCCATTGCTTCTACAATATCAGAAGTGAGAATATTTTCTAAGTTGTGTAGCTCAAAGATTAGTTAGTGTGTTCTTGTTTTTAGTATGAGTCACTTTGCCTTGTTCAAGCTTAGAAAACAGACTTGACCATTGTTTGGGTTCTGTCTGTTTATTGGCTTCATTTAATTGGTTGCTTATATGTTTGTTGTTGTTAACTTTATTGGGCATATGTGTTGTTTGTTTTGCTGAGTCTTGAAACTAGGATTGCAGGCACAGGGGCATGGGCATGCCTATGGGCATGCCAAAAAGCAAAAGGCATGCCCATGCCAAGTCACATGACATGAAATGATCAATTCTATTGGCCCAAAATCACAATAGCAATTTTTTATTAAATATATTAGATAATTACTTTATTAAAATTTGTACACAAAAGGATCTACGGTAACTCTCTCCTGTACATATAAGGCAGAGAGAGTAAAATATTAAGCAGACAAAATTCCCAATATATCTAGGAGTAAAAACCCAAACAGTTCAACAATAACAAGGGCTAAAGCCCTTGTTCTAGAAAAAAGAAAGGCCACAAAAGCTTTACTTCAAGAACAACCAAATAAAAAATACAAAATTATAGATTCTTCTTACAAAGAAGTCAAGGTTAAAGACTCTTCCAGTCTTCAACTCACAGAACCTGAACCAAACTCAAGCATTTTGCTCACAAACTTCACTAAAGATACAAAGAAATATGAGTTAACTACTAGCAAGGAAAGTTGGGATGATATTGTATCTCAAGATGAATTTGAACACATCTTTACAAAAAATGGAACTGAATAAACAAAACAACAAAGCAACGCATGTGTCTGGAAAGGTTTCAGAAAGTTCCACATCATCAAGTCATGTGGAAACACCACCTAAAAGTTCTGAACTTCCTGTGAACCTATACGTACATGTTCTAATTAATGAACTAAGACAAGAAGCCACTCAGGATCAAGCCCCACTTAAACAGTGGTCTATTTTCTTCCCAAAGCTAAAAAGAGGCCAATCTACCTTTTCAACATTCTCTTCAAGAGAGCAAATTAAATCCAAGAACGATAATGCTCTGATTATTGATATCTCAAGAATTCAAAATAATATCCTCACTTTTTGAAAATGTTAAAGACAAAGTCATTGCTGCTAAGCAACATCTTAAAAAAGGCGCCTGCTTAGTGTTCCAAATCATTAGTTGGAAAACCAAATAGTTGACAACTTTCCAACTAACCGGTTAGAAAATTTTTTAATCA